CATAGATGCAAGAGTTCCGTGGTTCTTGTGTCTTGTCCTTTCGAATGGCCTGCCACGATCCCACAAGGACCCGTATCCTGCTGTCCGTACGGGATACGTGCCGATTGATGTTTTTCATGCATTAAATGAGATCCCGTATATCCATTTCTGATTTATCAATGTTTGTAACCTTCCGCCCTATTTGACCTGTGACATGAATCAGACTGACGTATTCCGTGGCACACTGAACTACTGTTCAAATATCATGGGATTACTCGTTCCGGGCAAACACTTGAGTCGTTGGCGTATTTTTGTTGATTTATCGTGGTAAAAATATATGCGTTTTGCTTTAATGTATTTTACTTATTCAACTTTTTTTTACTTTTAAAAGTTGCTGTTTCCCTGTTTAAGTATTGCCTAAAACTTTTTTTTATTAATTTTTTCTAAAGATCAAAATACCACAACGATTTCTTATACTTACTTAGTTATCATGTATATATATATATATATATATATATATATATATATATATATATATATATATATATATATATATATATATATATACATATACATATACATATACATATACATATATCTATATATATGTATATATACATATATATACACATATATACATATGTGTATATATATATGCACATATACATATGTGTATATATATGCACATATACATACATATATATACACATATATACACACACACACACACACACACACACACACACACACACACACATATATATATATATATATATATATATATATATATATATATATATATATACATATATATACATACACACACACACACACACACACACACACACACACACACACACACACACACACACACACACATATATATATATATATATATATATATATATATATATATATATATATATATATACATATACATTACATATATATATATATATATATATATATATATATATATATATATATATATATATATATATATATATATATATATATATATATATACACATACCGGTGATTTATAGATTAGCGATTTCCTTATTTTCTAAGGTCAGACGATTTCCTTTCCTTTTCATGGTTGTGTGATCTTACTTTCTTATGCTTTTGTGCTTTTCTTCAAGTTCAATTCGATTCTTACCGGCGTCCGGTTTCGTAACTTCGTAACTAAAATTACCCGCTGTTGAATGTCAGGTCAATTTCAATCTTGGTTTCCTTATCTAGTTTTCTCAATATGCAGACCATTCATTACTTATACCCGGGTAATCATATTATTACACCTATCCTTTAACTAAGTGATGAGATAACTCTATGATTCATATTACAAAATTCCTCAATAATCCTCCTGCACCTGCTCGCTCGTAGACGCAACTGCTCCAGAGCTGATAGGAGGATTCAGGCCAGTTTATACAAGGAATTGGCAGTGTTCTTTGAGGCTGACGTGGGCCGCCCGCGCTGTCAGCAGTTTCATCCGACAGACAGACACACTGACATTATCTCTGGCATTGTCAAGTACGAGTTTATTTTGCAGTTGTTTTATGACAACTGGCTAGCTATTTTTTACAGCTCGGAATTCAAATACATCCCGTTTTGCACAAAAGAACTGAAAGATTAGTTTCCAGATGAATTATTTGTGGATGTATCTGCTACAACTGCATATCAATTTAGCATATATAAACAACTTGCATACGAACGAAAAAGTTAGAAAAAATAGTCATCCAATAACACTAAAATGTCAAACACATTTGAAAGCAAATAAAAACATAAATGCACTCAGTAAATAACTCAAACAATATATACAAAATGCACACACACACACACACACACACACACACACACACACACACACACACACACACACACACACACACACACACACACACACACACACACACACACACACAGATATATATATACACATGCCGGCACATCGAGGAAAAGGGTACCTACAGGTGATCCAGCCGAGGGACGGTGTGAAACAGCTGCTCACTGAGGCTCTGGAGGGCGTTGTGTCTTAGGACTCTGTGACGAAGAGAAAAAATCTGTAGTGACATATTCTAAAAACTTTCCAGAAAAAAAATCAAAAGCTATGGGTGCTAACTCCTGAATTTAAGATGGTGTCCAAAACTGTTAAAAATGGGTTTACATATACTGAATATTATGAATGTTCAATGTTCAAGCCAGACACTAGCTTACTGTCTGAACATAAGCATACCTGCATACAGTTTAAAGTAACTTTTTCACACATGTAGGCCTACTATCTATAAAAAGTATGCAAGATTTCTTATGGACCTTTCAGCAATGCCGTTCATTCTAAAGGGAATGTTTAGCGCTTAATTGCTCTTGATGTTGAAAACTGACTGAATGAAGTAGGTAAATGTTAAATCTGGATAATTCTGGCCATGTTTTGTAAAATATATCAAGTGACATCTACTTTGGTCTTAAGTCAAGTTAAGTCACAGATGTCTGTTTGTTTGTGTGTGTATGTTAATGCTCCGTTGCA